TTAACAAATATGGCAAGAAAGGTTGTAAAATTCGTTTAACAACAGAAATTTGGGGCTCAGTTGTGGTCATAAGTCAGGGACTACCTGTATTTAGCAGCAAATCTTCATTTCAAAGCCTCAGAGAGAAACATATAATTCAGAATGCTGTGCATATTTTATGTATTTTCCTTCCTTCCTTCCTTTCTTCCTTCCTTCCTTCCTTCCTTCCTTCCTTCCTTCCTTCCTTCCTTCCTTCCTTCCTTCCTTCCTTCCTTTCCTTTTTCTAGATTTCTAATACCCTTTAGATCAGGGGTGTCAAACTGTTGGCCTGCGGGCTGGTTTCATCATAATGGAGCTGCGCCCACCCCATTGCCGGCAATGGCAAAAAAGCTCCGATACATTGCATGATGTCACGTGACGTCGTGAGTTTGACATGTCTGCTTTAGATAGTTAAATAAACAATTTCTGAAAGTGATTAGAAACAAGGTTAGTGAATTTAGTGTCCTTTAAAAAGCTCCACTACAGTTGTGAACTTAAACTCCTTGTCTGCTGGCACTGAAATGGGAAGGGGATCACTGTCCTGCAATCTCCTCATGAGGAACATCATCCAGAACACAGATGGGTAATCTCCTATGCCCTCTTTGTCCAGAGAGTTTCTAAAGAACCAGTCCAATCACCAGACGGGCAACATATTAAACATAAGGTAAGGTGCCAAGTTCAGCAACCAGAGAGCCCAGCATGAGGAGGAACAAAACTTCCTAGTGTGGAGATTAATATTTGAGTATGTTGTTTCAGCCAGCCTCATCTCCTGGTGTTTGTCTTGGTTTGCCTCTTACATGGTTGTTGTCTAACTTAGATGGTCATCTGTACTATCTAAGTACATGCAATATGTATTGGTGCTGTGGATGATTTGGCAAAGAGGTTTAGTGAGGTGCCAGACTTTCACATGAACAGGTCAAAAATAGTTTATTTCTTTTCCCATTTTTATCCATTTGTATTTGGACTTGTCACAGTGTAAAAAAAATAACCCAAGGCTATATAGATGGATCTTCTACCTAACATCCGGATGCTCCCTAAAAGTATATCTACAAAGACTCAGACATACCCAGATAATGCTATTCTTGTCATTTGGATCAAAGGCAAATACATGATCAAAACAAGTCTGATTTTAAAATATAAAAGTCAGTCAAGGACACCTGCAGATTAGGGGGGGGGGAAGGGTTAGGCATAGAATGGGTTGAAAGGTGCTTCATTTAATTGGACCAGCTGGGGGTTGCCTTCTGCCTCAGAGGAGCCTCTGGCAGTAAAGTGATTGATTATGTGCCATCAAGTCATCTTCAACTCCTAGTGACTACATGGATAGATTTTTCTTCATGATCTGGCAGTAGAATGGGTATATATTTTGCTGATATTTCCCTTATGCGTCTCTGTGAGTACTTTAACTCTTGTAAAAAATAACAGCCTAGTTCTGAATCCTAAAAGAACCTCTTAGCTTTGACTGGCCACTGCTAGCAAGATATAGTGTATAGGCACACTATAAATAAATTATGCCAATTCAAAAAAAGCTAACTATGTTACTTTTTGCTTTCCTAACCCAACTTCACATGCACAATAGTTAGCCCCAGATTTTCCCTATGATTGGAACAGGCAGTATTTATTCCATAGCAACCAGCTTGCTGCAATAGCAGGTGAAGTCTATAGGCTGTGCTTTCGCCCCATGCTGATGGATAAATGGAAGGAATCTTACCTTCTATTTATAACAATACATCAGAACTGCACTTACAGTTTAAACAAAGATGAAGAAATACACAAATCCAAAGCAGCACTGTAATTTTCCCATTTTACTGTCAAAGGAAAGAATGGGGGTGAATCAGAGATATAATGACAATGCAAAATATGACGGTGTACTTTTGTTTATTTCAACAAAGCTAAGACATGTGCATGATTTTGCAGTGAGGCTGTAGGGACTGACTCCTGGATTGATATCTGGGAATTTCCCTCGACTTTGATGTTTTTGTTTTATATGGCATTTTGCATGATCTACTATACACGTGTGATGCTTTACATTAAGGAATGGCTTGATAATATGTTGTCAATTAGCTAATATATACTGCTCAAAAAAATAAAGGGAACACATCCTATAAGAAATCCTATAGGATGTGTTCCTTTTATTTTTTTGAGCAGTATATTTGCTTTACTTAATAATAATAATAGTAGTAGTAAAGTTGGAAGGGACCTTGGAGGTCATCTAGTCCAACCCCCTGCTCGGGCAGGAAACCCTACACCATTTCGGACAAATGGCTGTCCAGTCTCTTCTTAAAAACTTCCAGTGTTGGAGCATTTACTGCTTCTGGAGGCAAGCTGTTCCACTGATTAATTGTTCTCACTGTCAGGAAGTTTCTCCTTAGTTCTAGGTTGCTTCTCTCCTTGATTAGTTTCCACCCGTTGCTTCTTGTCCTGCCTTCAGGTGCTTTGGAAAATAACTTCCATAAGGAGGAAACAAGGGGGAGGCATGATATATGTTCAAACAAAGTAACTTAGAAAAGTGGCTGAAGATCAAGATTGCAAACATCTGCAGAGATGAAGCCATGGGCAATATCATGAAATGAACTATCATGAGGGCCTCTGATACAGTTGGACCCAAGACTTCTTCCCTTTACATCTAGGTACCTTTATTAAGATTATGTGAAGGATGTTTCCTAAAAGCAAGGTAGGTTGCATAATTTGTGTAAAGTGATCTTGAAATAAGAGAGTAAATCAATCTGGAACAGAAAAAGTCTAACTGAAGTAAGTGCCAGTAGGAAATTCCAATTCCAAGGCTGTGGTTAAATTGCTTGGATAACAAGAAAAGACAACAAGACTTTGTAGAGTAGAGTGACACTGAGAGGTTCTTCAACACTGTCGTAATATAAAATCTTGTATAGCCATCTCATGCTTCCTACATCTGGTATCCGGTCTTCTTGACAGACCAGAAGAAATTAAAACATAGCATTACAGAATCATCGATCTTAGCACCCACTTAAAACATACCAAATCTGGTAAGATCATTCATCCAATGCTTTATTGGAGTGTTTAGAAGAGAGGAATCCTGGATAGATGCTCTGACTCAGGAATGAATGCAGTATTGCAGGCTAACTCTGCCCTCTGCCAGGTGTTTGATCCTGACTGATTCAAGGTTGACTCAACCTTCCATTCTTCCAAGGTCGGTAAAATGAGGGTCCAGATTATTGCGGGCAATATGCTGACTCTGTAAACCACTTAGGGCTGTAAAGCATTATGGAGCGGTATATAAATCTAAGTGCTATTGCTATTTGATAAATTACTCATAAATTTAAAGGTATGCAGAATGGGAACAAGATGTTGGGCTTTTTGTAAGAGAGTTCTTTGACCATCCAGGCTTGTTTATTCATTTATGGGGAAGCAGTTGATTTGTTGAGTTGTCCATTGTAATGGCAAATTATGTAATAAGCACAGCAATTAATAAACCTTTGGGATTATTAGGCTCAAAAATAATGAAGGTTTTCTGAGTGTATAATCGAGCATGGAGAATATTCCTGTGATCTAACAGGAAAACACCTTTGGGAATGAAAGAGAAGTAATGTGGCTAAAAGAGAAGCCATCTTATGAAGAGACTGCTACTGCATTGGGAAACATATCCCACTTATCATGCTTTATGACGGCATAAATACTGGTAGTTACTCTCTTTTCTATTTTCTACTCTCCTTTTAATATTTCTGTTAGAAATAATGTCACGTTTGGCATTACTGACGCTGCAGAAAGTAGAGAAAAATAGAACACTGCTTTGAGCTTGGTCAGATTAAGTAGGTCTATACCAGGGCTAGGCAACCTTGACTCTTTTATGACTCATGGATTTCAACTCCTAGAATTCCTGAGCCAGCCATGCTGGTTCAGGAATTCTGGGAGTTGAAGTCCACGAGTCATAAAAGAAACAAAGTTGCCTACCCATGGTCTATACTATACAACACGCCATGTTACTTATAATTACATTGAACATAAGAACTTCCATGTTGGATCAGGTTGAGACTCATCTTAGTACAGCATCTGTTTCCCACAGTGGCCAAAAATATCTACCATGCGTGTAAGCAAGAGGTATGGACTCATCCTTTCCCTCTCCTTGTTTTCCTGCATCTGGAATTTGGAGCTATCTTTGCTTCCAATCCAGGGGATACACTGAGTCTTCAGGTCCAACAGCACTTCTTGGTCTGTTCTTCCAAAGTTTATCCAAGTGCATTTGACAAGCATCCAAGTTAATGGCCAGAACCTTCCCTTGTGGCAATGAATTCCAGAGATTAATTTTGCACTGTGTGAAAAAATGCTTTATCTCTTTTAAATGTCCTCCCAGACAGCTTTAAGATTCTAACAGAAAAAAAATCTTCATGACCACTTTCCCTATGCTATGCATGATTTTTTTTTAATGTTTCAATCATATGTCTCCCTCCAACTGTCTTATTGTTAAGCTAGAAAATCCCTGGCATTCTAATTTATTTTTCCTAAGGAAAATGTTTAAACTGGCTAGTAACTCTCTTCTGTACTTTCCCCCCAGCTTTTCCACATGTGGCCATCAGAAGCAATGTTCCAGATGTGGACTTTTCTCTATTGTAGGGGCATTACAGTGCTGGCATTTTAATCTGTCATGCCCTTTCCTAAAAATCTCCAGCATGGAATTCACTTTTTTTTCACAATTTGTTCCTTTCCTTATGTAACCCAGGGAAAGGATACACCCCTAGCATTAGTATATAGTTTGTTAAACTGTGGCTTGTGGGAGAAAAAATCCCAATGGTTGAATTCACACAACCCACCAAGCCCAAACTAATCATATTAGGGCTCAGCAGACTGCAAACCCTGTCCATGCCTCAACTGCCATATTGGGCGGGGTGCTTTACCCTATTTCTTGTTGAAATAAGAAGGACCGATCATCCTCCGGGGGGGGGGGGAATGGGAAACACTGGCCAGGTAAGGAAGCACCTGGATCCTTTCCATCCTCTTAGTGGCAGGTTGAACACCTACACGGCTCTGAAAGGAGGGAGCAGAAAGCCGGGAACTGCAGTAGAGGAACGCAGCCTTCCTCCGCCTGCTCGTTCCTTACAAGAGTGGGAAGAGAGATACCCTGAGGAGGAGGAGGAAGAGGAGGGAAAGGCGTTCGTCATCGGTCGCGCTGTCCTTTTGCCCAGCCGCACGTAGAAGAGGGAGGAAGAGGTCGGCGAGGCAATCAGAGGCGTTCTTGGATGGTCGCTTCCCTTCCGCAGCTGTTTGGTAATAGCCTATCTCCCTCCTTCCTTCCTTCCTTCCTTCCTTCTTCCTTCCTTCCCCATTCGATTCCAGGGGATCAGGAGGCTGAAGCTGCACCATATATAGCCAGGGCTGCCTGCTTTATTGATTGACTTGCATTTCCAGCATCTCCCCCGCCCCCTTTGGCGCTGCAGCGGCGGCAGCACCAGCACTAGCAGCAGCCCGGAGAGGGAAAGGAGGTGGACAGTTGAGAGACTGCGGAGAAGCTGCCCTGGAGACATGGCGGACCGAGGCCTCTGAATAAGCAAAAATTGAGCGCGGGGGTGGGGAGGGGAACGAAACAGGCTCCCTCCCGATTTCTCCTTTCCCTCCTTCCCCAGCGCAATTATGCTGTCCCGAAGTGGAGCGGCCGAAGGACAAACGGTGCAGCAGCTTTGGGGAGCCTTGGACTCCTTCCCCTCGCATCTACTTCTTAATCTTGCATCCCATCCTCTCCCTTGGCCTTAAGCTGAGGTAGCTGGCTGCTTCCCAACAACATCCAGGGCGAATTGCTATCCACCCCTCCATCCATCCTGTGGCTGCCTTCATCCCTCCCTCGCCCTCCCTTCCACTTCTTCCCATCTGTCTCCATCCTTCTTCCTTCCTCTCATTCTCTATCTCTTTCTCCTGTTGCTCCCCTCCCCCCACCTCCTCCCTGGCTGCCACCACCGTCCTCCAAAGCCATGGCTGCAGAAAAGATCTTGGAGACTGTGGATCACTATAAATCTGAGATTGAGCGCTTGACCAAAGAACTGACAGAGACCACCCATGAAAAGATCCAGGCGGCTGAATATGGACTGGTGGTCTTGGAAGAGAAGCTGACCCTTAAACAGCAGTATGATGAGCTAGAAGCTGAATATGATGTCCTCAAACAGGAGCTGGAGCAGCTGAGAGAGGTGAGTTGCCTTGGAAAACCGGCTGATCTCATTCTTCATTTCCCCCATCTCAATATGGTACCATCTTTTTTGTTTTCTCTCTTGATTCCTGGCATATGCCATGTATGCTTAAAAAAGAAAGGGAAGGAAAATATCCACCAGATCTCCTTGCTTTGTGATATTTTCTGAACTATTTCATCTAAAAAGAAGTGTATTGTGGGCCAAATGTTTTGAATCTGGATCTATAAATGTAGGATAAGACTGCAATGGCAGTGATTCAAGATACAGGGATCAGCACTGATCAACAAAGAAGCTTAAAAGTTATTAGGGATCTGATATTTTAAATGTATTACTGATCAAAATATGACAATACATGCTATGTATAGACACAACTTTTGTTTTTGTTTTTTTGTTATTTGAGGGTAAACATGCATATTACACTGAATAGCTAGGTTCATATTAAGAAAAAAACATTTAAAAATGAACATCTTTACATTTTTTAAAAATTAACAATTCTTTATTACATTTGTTTACATCCTTTTATAATTTACCTGTCAATGGGATCCATGATAGGCATCCATTTCTGTCTAGAAAGATATATTTGATCTGGGTCAGTCAGGTTTGCCTAAAAAGAAACTGATACATATCTAATCAGTGCATGTCACTGAGCAATCTGTATTTTTTCTTTGCATATTATTGACAAGATACAAGCAAAGATTTATAATCTCATAAGGCAGATTGCAGATAGGTATTTATGGTAAATCAATCAAATTGTGAATTCTACATTCATATTTATGTCCATATATTATATTTTACAAATAATAGAAACCTAAAGGCGAATTCTGATAGGCACTAGTATGGGAATAAGTATAACTCAATGTATCTATGTATGTATGTACTCAATTTTGACAGAAATGCCCATAGAAAACATCAGTGGTAACTGAAATGGCTGGATTCTTCCCTGTGAATATTTACTTGTTTAACTGACTTTTTAAATCTTGCCTTTATTACTTTATAAGTAACTGAAGGCAGTGAACATATATATTTCTCCTTTCTCCTTCTATTTTCTCCACAAGAATAAAACAACCCTCTGAGGTGGGCTTGGCTAAGAGAGAGTGACCAATCTGAAGTCACCTAACTGCCTTCATGGCTAAAGTAGGACTAGAACCAGTGGTGGGATTCAGCCAGTTCGTACCAGTTCAGCAGAACCGGTAGCTAATTTTTTGTTGAACAGACCCAGAATGGACCTCCGGAAGCGATATCCACACAGAGAACCAGTTGTTCACATATTTGAATCCCACCACTGACTAGAACTCACAGTCTCCTGGTTTGTAGGCCAGTACCTTCACCATTACTCCAAACTGGCAATATTCTTTGGTATGTGGACGCAAGTGAAAATTTGATCTTGTTCCCCCAAACCTTCTGGGTCCTGGCTCTAAAGTTTAGTAGAAATTTCTGTTTACGTCAGATATGTTGGATTATAACTCTCATAATTCCCACTGAAGGTAGTGAACTTGTTGAAGAAAGCTGACTATTGCTGATAGGAACAGAAATTCACCCCAGAGGGCTGTTGTAGGGAAAAATAGAAGGAGGAAGTCACATTAATCATGTTCACTGCCTTTGACTTCTTTATAAAAAATAATAAAGGTGGGATTAAAAAAAAATCTTTAAAAACCTAATATACATCCATGCAATGAGGTCAGCTAGATGACAACATCAATCATATGGACTGATCTTGAACATTTAGCAGGATTGGATTGGATTAGCACTTGATTTGGACACCACCTGGAAATGCTAAGATTATAGGTGAAACTGGAAGTTGAAAAACATTCTGCACGTGATCAATGGAAATGACTGTTCCACCATGGCCAGGAAAGCTACATGGATTGTCCGTGAAGTCATCATGAGTTGAGTTAGACTTGAAGGAGACTTTATGAAATAAAAGTGACATAGATGTTACCTGCTAAAGTGAAATGATATCAAAGGATAGGGGTGGGGGGGGGAGAGGTTGCACAATTGCTGGCAGTGTGTAATCTGGATGAGAAAAGGATGAGAGTGTAAGATAAGTCCTACCATTAGGCATATGATAGCTCCAGGGAAAAACAAGGCATTGCTGAGTAGCTCATCAGGAGCAAGAGAATGACTAGGCAGGTTGGCATGGAGAAGGATGACATACACCGTATTGATAAATCAGGAGGTGAAGAAAAAGGAAGATCATTTCCAGTGGCAACCTGAATATGTGAGTAATGAAGAAAATTCTCATTGCGTGGAAAAAAGGTAAATCCAATGTGTTCACTGTTGGTGTACAATATCCTGTCTTTAGTGATATATAGTTCATTTTCATTCATAAAAAATCATCACAGTGATGCTTGGATGCTGTTATATAAAGAGGTCTCATTGGTCTTTTATTTTAGAAATGGCAGTGGTGATTTTATAATTTTACATATAATTCTCAGCATTTTCATAAAATAGTATACTATAGATAGTCCCCGACTTATGATCACAATTAAGCCCAAAATTTATGCTGCTAAGTGAAAGTTGTTCCATTTTACGAACTTTCTTCCCGCAGTTATTAAGTGAATCATTGCAATTGTTAAGTTAGCAACACAGTTGTTAAGTGAATCTGGCTTCCCCATTGACTTTGCTTAACAAAAGTCACAAAAGGGGATCATATATCCCCCTTTTATGCAACCTTCGTACTGTAAATATGAGTCAATTGCCAAGCATCTGAATTTTGATCATGTAACCTTGGGGATGCTGACAACTGTCATAAATGTAAAAGTGAAAATGTCACTTTTTTCCATGCCATTGTAACTTGGTCACTAAATGAACTGTTGTAAGTCGAGGACTATCTGTAATTTCTGATATTAAAATCCATTGTAGCAAAATAATGTATATAAATACGATAGATCAACTAGCGTTTTGCTTAAGACATACCTACAATAAGGAGACCTGCATTGGTTGAATGCAAAGTGTAAAAGAAAAGTTAGCGAGCTTATTTTGTAAAGTGATACTTATATTTCTTCTAAAATATTTTCTCTAAACATGACTGCATTGCTTAAAAGCAAAATAAAGTGTTTTCCTCATGTCTTTGTGTAAATATCATGCAGATATTTTTAGATTTGCTCAGCTGATTTGATTAAAGCCCTTAAGATTTCTTTAACTGATAGCCTTATTTATATGCACGAAAACCAGCAATGTGCTATTTTTTTAGTATAACTGATTGTGTTAAAAAATTAACTGGTCTGAAATACAACCAAGTAAAATGGGATTGAATTAATAGCTTAATAAACCTTATCAGTTTTGAAAGTAATCTTCTAATTGGATTTACCCTGTGATAATCTAGTCTTAGCATTGCATTTATACAATGTACAGTATGTATTATAGAGATACACAAACCTTGTAATAACTGCAGAGAGAACTTGCACGGCTTAGGCTTGTTAGTTTTCTACTGCTCATAAGTTTCTGTTGGGTGAAGTACTTCTAAATACATAAAGCAAAGGTGTCTAACCTTGGCGACTTTAAGAATCGTGGACGTCAACTCCCAGAATTCTCCAGCCAGCCATGCTCCTGAGTGACTATCTTTGCATGTGTATGCTTGCACAGCCACTTTGCACCCTGCAGAGGCATCTGGAAATAATTTAAGAAGCAGCTGCATTAACCAGAAAAAAAAAGATATAGCTTATTTTTGTTGGTGTGAAATAATTCTGGTACTGTTGCCATAAGTTTGTCTGCTTATTTATTTATTAATAAATACATTTTGTAAGACTGCCCAACTCAAACAATGAGGCTCTGGGTGGTGCTCTTCTTGGATATTCCTCTCTTCACCTGCTGCATTCTTGAGTCTATTTATTTGTATACTTACAGTCCATCACAAGCATTCTGGGGCCTTCTTGGATCTCTTTCTTCCTTGAGGTTGCATTCTTCAGCCCCAGTGAATTCAGCAGGAGTTCATTTTGTATGAATTTTTGTACATTTGTATATTTGTACATTTTGTACATCTGCAGTAGGTCTGTAAATGTTTTAGCTTTCTGGGAAGAGCAGAGCAAAGGGCTGCTGTGTCAGCATCTGTGTCATTCCATAGGCATCATAGGGGATAGAGAGCGGTTGATTTTATTGGGTACACCATGGCTTGATGATTGAGCCTCGACAGAGTGAACTCCCGTTGTTGAGTTATTTATTTATTTATTTATGAGATTTATATACCGCTTTAAGTGCAAGCACTCTCTAAGCGGTGTACACCAGTAAGCAATGTATATATATATATATTTACATTGCCCCCAACAATCTGGGTCATCATTTTACCTACCCCAGAAGGATGGAAGGCTGAGTCAACCTTGAGCCGGTGAGATTTGAACCGCTGACCTGCTGAACAGTCAGCTAAAGTGGCCTGCAGTACTGCACTCTAACTGCTGCGCCACCTCGGCTCTTTTTTGGTTGGTCTTATACAGTATTTAGTGGTTGCCATTGAGCCTTGATACAATGAAGTCCTCAATTCTTTTGCCACTCTTTTTTTTCTTTAATTGACATCTGACTCATTAGTGCCAACGCACTAGTGCCATACCAATGTTGTGATAGAATTTTAATCTTACATCATACACACATGTATATATTATATACATACTTATGCATACACATACACACATACATACATACATACATACACACACACAAAGGCACACATATACACTCCACACAGATTGATTGATTGATTGATTCATTCATTCTTAGATCTTTAGGGATTATATTTAGTCAAATTTCTTAATAAAAGATGTGCTTTGAATGAAGGAAGCATCCACCTTAGCCCGCACAGAAGTTAAACTTCAGTTAACCTCAAGGATATATACTTACTCCCTAAACCCCAATTTCTGTTAGAAATGATTAAGCAGAGAGAATGCAGAAGCTTCTTGTTGTGATAAGGAACCCCCAAGATGTGCATATGTTCTAAATGTAAAACTTCCAAGCTATGTATTTCAACCTATAATGCATATTAGCCAGCTAATGAATCTCTCTCTCTCTCT